TACTGTCAGACTCTGGGCCAGGTTTTGTGTGTGTCTTTGCTCCCTATGTGCTCCGTCATCCAGTTTCTCTGTCTCATGTTTTGAATTCATTGTTCCCAGGTGTTTCCTATGTTGATTGTCTCATTAGTTCCAGGTGTCCCTTGTCTTCCCCTCATCAGTTCCTGTGTATTTAAAGTGTGTTCTAGTTCTCGTCCTTGGTCAGTCGTTGAATGTCATCCTGATGTGTCGAGTCCTGTGATCCCCAGCCTTTGTTAATAAAACCCTTTTGATTTATTCTACTCCGTGTCTCCTCGCTCCTTCGTTCCCGTGTTCCTCGTGTGTGTGAGCCGTGACAATTAACCTGTTTATTATTATTTTTTAATTTATTAATATAATAATTTTTCAAAACCCATATGTAACCATTCTTGTTCCTTACGTTCCCAGCAGATTTATTAGTTTTAATGTGCCAGGAATGTGAAGCTCGGCTGAACTGAAATAGCAGGACAATAGTTGTGCTGTTAAAGGATTAATAGGCAACACTTTACAATAAGGGCTCATTTGTTAAAGGAATAGTTAATAAAGTTACATTAGTCAGAGGAATAGTTCAACCTAATATTAAATTAGCAAAAAATGGCCCTCAGGCCATCCAAGATGGAGATGAGTTTGTTTCTTCATTAGAACAGATTTTGAGAAATTCAGCATTACATTACTTGCTCACCAATGGATCCTCTGCAGTGAATGGGGGCCGTCAGAATGTTAACAATGCTTGATCTGTGTATATTTTTCTCCTGATTCAGACAAGATGACTTTTTCATTGGAGAAAGCAATTTTATGATAGAGGATTCTTATTTTAGCCAGAAACAATGGTTTATAGTTAATTTGTTTGTATTTGTTTACTAGAAACACAGCTTTTTGCTTCACAAGCTTATTGTGATGTTTTTTTCAGCTGTCTGGACTCTCATTCTGACGGCACCCATTCACTGCAGAGGATCCACTGATGAGCAAATGAGGTAATGCTAAATTTCTCAAAATATGTTCTTATGAAGAAATTCATTTACATCTCGGATGACCTGAGGATAAGCATATTTTCAGCAAGTATTTTAGCAAGGTGAACTATTCCTTTAATGCATTAGTAAACATGAACCTATAACATGAACCAGCATTTATTAACCTTTATGTTAGTTAATAAAAAAATACAATTGCTTGTTCATGTCAGTACACAGTAACAGATACAACTTTTCTTTTTAAAACATATTAATAAATGTATTAATAAATGCTGTAGAACTATTTTTATTGTTTGTTCATATTTACTAATATAGCTAACTAAAGTTCACAAATCATACATCTTTGTAAAGTGTTACCAATTACATTATTGTAGTTTGTTTCTAGAAAATGTAAAAAAAAAAAAAAAAAAAAAAAAAAAAAAAAAAAGGTTGTATGGTAAACATTTGTTAAACTTACTCTGGACATGTTCTCAACTAACTAACTAACTAAATACATAAATAAACACATTTTTGTAAAGAAATGGCATAGCAATAATTACATTTAACGAATGATTAATTAATAATTTAATAATAAAAAAAAAATATATATATATATATATATGCTGGGTTTGGTTTGCTCATATTTTATGATAACTAAAATCTACCACTAATACAAAAACTGCAAATTATTTTTGTCCCATGTGGCCTTTATTAATAAATCAGTTTGTCGTTAAGAAGGTTTTTCTTTGAGTAAGTATCACCATAACTGGTTTCTCTCCCAAAACTGTCCAAGTATTCCTTCATATTGTAGTCAAATGTATATTTAATTAATTAAATAAAGTATAAACACATGTTCACTAATAACAGTTATACTCTCACGGTCTCTTTGTAGCAGATACAAAAGCCAACAGTATTCAAAGCAGGAATGTGGATCAGCTCTTCAAATACTTGAAATGCCTCTTGAGTGGAGACGCTGTACAGTATAAGGGTTTAGTTGCTGTGAACGAGTGTGACGAATAGGAAGAGTGAACATAGGGAGATGGCACCAGTGAGCACGGCCTTCACTAGGAGAGCTGTCCAGCTGCCCAGGAGGAAAACATGAACAAACAGCCTGGAGGAGACACACAAACATGGAAATAAACAGTTATGTGCAGTGAAAAGTCAAAACAAAGAGCATAAGATTTCTTTAAAAGGACACGCAGTGATTTCATACGGAAAAGTATATCAACATATTACACTTATTATTTCTGGAGTTTCATATGCGTGAAACACCCGGAGGACCTAATACACAACACTAGTGCTGTAAATTGCATCTGAATTTTCCTGCAAAACTGAATTAAAAATGTGAAATTAATGCAAGATGCTTACATGCAAGATGAAAATGTTATTTGACAACTTGGCATACTACTGTATTAAATATTTTATGCTGTGTAATGCATTCCACATGCTATTAAAAAAAACAAAAACAAAAAAACAGTAAGCAGCATACAGTGCATACTGTGTGATATTTAGTAAATAATAAGCTAGCATTTAATTCCAAACAGCCAGAAACTACATTTGCAATGGTAATAAAATCTAACTTAAG